CACACACACACACACACACACACACACACACACACACATATTAAATACATTGGTGTAATTTAGATCACTATTCCTTCAGTGCTTTTTCTCCTAAAGGAAAAAAAACCTGTATGGAACCCACATCCTATATACTCACTATTCTTTCCAAGCACTTTACCTCCCATTCCACCCCACCAGTCTGATAGATCTTAAAGTCTCCTTCCATTAAGTAGCMAGTCCATTTACAAAGGTCAGTTTCTAACTGTTGTTCTCAGGCATTCTCACTTCTGCATGATCATCAGCCAGTACCTAGCCTTTCATTAATCTGCATCTCATGAAAAGATGGTGCCTTTGGAATTCAGCATTCTAGAAGATTGTATGACTTCATTAACCTGCCCTACTACAAAGGTCATACTCTCCAATCTGAACTGATCACTCAGTGATTTTCTGTGGTCCTACTCCTTTCCACCTCAGTAATTTCCTCAAAGTCCCCATCAGCTCACTTCTCTGTCAATAGAGGAGATCCTCTGTATTAAGAAAGTTGGGCTGGGGTAAAACTCAGTGGTAGAGCACTTGTATAGCATTTGTGAGGCCCTCAGTTTGTTAGGCCAGCACTGATTTAAAAAAAAAGAAAAGAAAATTAAGATCATTGAAAGTGAATACCTTAATCTTTCTTTCTTTGTACAGGCTGAGCGTCCCTTATCAAAAACGCTTGGCATCAGAAGTGTTTCAGTTTTGAAGTTTTTCCAAATTTGGGATATTTGCATAGACTTTAGTGATGGAACATCCCTAATTTGAAAATCTGAAATTCAAAATGCTCCTTAATCCAAAACTTCAAAAGTCATGTCATCACTCAAGAAGTTTTGGATGTGGGAGCATTTTGGATTAAAGATTTCTAGGTTAGGGAAATTCATCCTATACTTCAAAAATACTTATCTCCCTCCTCCTGTCTTAACTCCACGCCTTACTGGTTTGTCATCTTGGGGAAAAAACTTGTTGCCAACTCTGGTCACTTCAGTCAGTGCTACTCTTCCATTGTTCTTTTTACAGCCTAATTTCTTGATGTGAGAAACAATCTTTGAAGACCTCAGTTTCCTGGCTTTACCCCCACCACCTGAACTGGAAAGTTACCTGCCTTCCCACCAACTACAAGGGCCTCAGCCCCTTTTTCCTTGCCCCCTGCTTCTCTTTATCCCTCTTTGCTCACAGCTCTTAGTATAGCAGTCAACCCCTGCCTCATCTCCCAGTACTCCCTGTGTCACACAAGCTTTGTGCTCCCATAGCACATTTGTTTATTCTGTTTACACCTAAAGCATTGCCTTCTTTGTCTTTACCTTTCAAAATTCCTACCATTGTTAAAAGCTCCACTCCAAAAACCACTCATTTATGAAATCTTCCAGATCATCTAAACCGAAAACCAAAAGTGATTTTTCCATCCTCATAACATGAGAGTAGCTTCAGCATAGAGGAAGGGTTTCAAATACTAAATAGTAAACATTCTTAAATATTTAATATTAACTATTACATAGATTGAAAATTTTAATTTTAAAATATGATTAGAGATGGGTGCAGCGGTTCAGGCAGGTAATCCCAGTGGTTCGAGAGGCTGAGGCAGGAGGAGGATCATAAGTTCAAAGCTAGCCTCAGCAATTTAGGAAGACCCTGTGTCAAAATAAAATATAAAAAGGGTTAGGGAGGCTGGGGTTGTGGCTGAGTAGAGTGTGCTTGCCTACCATGCATGAAGCACTAGGTTCGATCCTCAGCACACCACATAAAAATAAAATAAAGGTATTRTGTCTACTTACAACTAAAAAGTAAATAGTTTTTTAAAAAGGGGTAGGGATGTGGCTCAGTGGTTAAGCACCCCTGGGTTCAATCCCTGGTACCAAAAATAAATAAATAAATAAAATATGATTAGAAAAAAGTACATCAGCTGGGCGTGGTAGCTCATGCTTGTAATCACAGCAACTCAGGAGGCTGAGGCAGGAAAATTACAAGTTCAAGGCCAGCCTCAGCAACTTAGTAAGACCCTGTCTCAAAAGAAAAAAATTAAAAGGGCTTGGGGTTGTAGCTCAGTAGTAAAGGTCTCCTGGGTTCAGTCCCCAGTTTTWAAAAAGAAAGAAAGAAAAAGAAAAATGCTTATCAAAATGTTGGCAGTAGCTATCTTTGGGTGGTAAGTTTATCAGTGATTATTAACTTTTTCTCAATACTTTTTTTTAAAATATTTTTTTTTAGAATTTTTAATATTTATTTTTTAGTATTTGGCGGACACAACATCTTTGTTTGTATGTGGTGCTGAGGATCGAACCCGGGCCGCACCGCTTGAGCCACATCCCCAGCCCTTCTCAGTACTTTTAATGGAACTTTTTCTCAGTTCTACGTTGTGCCTAGTTGTTTTAGAAATAGCCACACATGGTAGCACACACATGTAATCTTAGGGACTCAGGAGAGTGAAGCAGCAGAATTACAAGTTCCTGGCAAGCCTCAGTAACTTTGCAAGACCCTACCTCAAAAGAAAAAATAAAAAGGGCTGGGAGTGTACTCAATGKTAGAGCACCTCTGAGTTTAATCTCCAGTATCAGGAAAAAAAAAAAAAAAGGAAATTTTTATGGTGTAAAGTAATGCTCAGTTGGTCTGAAGTCATAGAAATCAGAGCAATCATAGTACATTATGCAGATTTTCTTGTCTCAGGGTTTCACCCTCCCTAATGAGTATTTGGATCATTTTGGAAAGATAGCAGGGTTCCCTTCAAGGAGTTAGTCACTGCTATTAGGGCTAGTAGAAATCATTGGTTACACAATACAGAAGTGTATCTGTAGGCCTTCTCTTTTGGTTTTGTTTGGCTTTTGAACTGGGGATTGAACCCAGAGGTGTTTTAGTCCTTTTTATTTTTTTTATTTTGAGACAGGGTCTCAGCAGTTGCTGAAGCTGACTTTGAACTTGGGATCCATTACCTCAGACTGCAGAGTCACTGGGATTACAAGTATGCACCACTGCACCCAGCTGCAGGCCTGCTCTTATAACCTCTTGCTGTTCTGTAGACAGATCCCAGGATCTGCTCTGAGAACTGTTTCCAAGCCTATCAAGCTAATCATTGAGAAAACACTAACAGGAAGATCAAATAGAAACCCACAACATTCTGAATACCAAATGGTAGCTGTAGAATATTTTATGGTACAGTTGTTTTTATTCTGCTTTGAAGGCCTGAATCTATCATAGCCTAAAATTATCTGTGTTTTTATCTGTAGTTTTTACATAATTCTTAATTATATGTAGCTATCACATTTTAACTGGTTAATTTACTAAATATTACCTAAAGTAATGGAGAAGTTGTCTCATTATCAGATATAACTTTTACTTCCTCAACTGTTCTCTTAAATAACTGTGGAAGAACTGTTTGTGATTAACACTTTTCCAGCAAGCACTTGACACTCTGTAAGGATATCTTTTTTTAGTTGTTGTTGKACCTTTATTTATTTATATGTGGTGCTGAGAATTGAACCCAGTGCCTCACACATGCTAGGCAAGAGCTCTACCACTGATCTGCAACCTCAGCCCTGCAAGGATATCTTTAAGGTCACCAAATATAATTTCAAAATTCAGCCGCTAATCACAGGGTTGAAAAAAATGGAGGTGCATTTTAACTAGGGTCATTTCTTTTTATAAGGCAACTTCATTGTGGGAAAATTTCCTAAGAGGTATAATAGACATTGTGGATTCAAAGGCAATTTTATTGTTGAGCCAGAATTATCTTCCTACTCTTTTGCATTTAGAGAAATTGCTAAGCTTTGTTCCTTCCGTCAGTGAAGGGAGGTATAACCAAGTGTCACTTCAGAAAGACCAAGATAGTTAGGTGGAACTATTATATTTTAGTCTGCAACATCAAAAGAAAGTACCTAGATCTTACATGCAATAACATACCCAGTAACCTGAAGAATTTTAGTTAAACATGGAAAAATTGCCTGCAGAGAATGTATATTATCAAGCTAAGTGTGCCAGTCCTTTTCAAACAGAATCCTAGGCCCACTTCCTGCTATAATGTGTCACCAAGAAAGAATATGGCACTTTCTCTCTCTTGGAGATTCTTAAAAGTCTGCCATCCAAATCTTATATCTGCTTCTGCTCTTCTGATCTGTCACCCAACAGCTCATTTTTGTCTTCTACCTTACCTTTTTCTAACAGCCTTGGGTTTTGCCTGATTTAAGGAACAAAAGAAGATGGGATTGGTTTCTTCTTGAATTTTTTTTTTTTTTTTTTTTTTTTTTTTGGTACCAGGGACCTAACCCCAGGGGGCTTATCCACTGAGCCACATCCCCAGCCCTGTTTTGCATTTTATTTTGAGACAGGGTCTCACTAAGTTTCTGAGGGCCTCACTACATTGCTGAGGCTGGCCTCGAATTTGTGATCTCTGCCTTAGTCTCCCGAGTTGCTGGGATTACAGGTGTGCACCACCACACCTGGCTCTTCTTCTTTAATATTTTAAAGGCCAGACCTGCTCAGTCTAAAATTAACCCCCTGTTTTTCTTCTTTGTGTGCTTACAGCTCTTCCTTGTATTTCTCTTCGAGCCCTTATAATCTGGCTTGTTAATTATGTATTTCTTTATATCTCCTTCTAGTCAGAAGATCCTTATAAAAGGAACTATTTTATTAAACTTTGTTTCCCCTCCTCTCTTCCGAACTGTTTAATTTGATTATTAGTTTCACACACGTGTACCTCTTTGAGCCTAGGTAGTGGTTGCCGCCACTCTGCCCCTGCCCCTCAAGCCTAATGTGTGATTCTACCCAGGCTACTTTTTTCTCCTAATCTCTCCCCACCATAAATAAAAATTTGTCCTCCTAAGGGATTCTGTTTAAGGTTTCCTGAAGGCCTCCTCTACTCAGACAATTCCTACTGCTATTTTTGTTTCAATGTCCCTGACTACTGGTCTTCCATCCTCTCCCTCTTTTGTTGTCATCAAAGGTTGGGGTTTTTTTTGTTTTGTTTCATTTTATTTTCATTTTTATTTTTTTCCACCCGCCATCTCCTCACTCTCATAGAAAACAAAGGGTGTGCTGCAAGCCATGGAAGGAAAAGTTTCGAAGTCCAGTTTTAAAGCAGGCCGCTGAGCTTGTTAGGTGCATGGTCATCGTCACCTGTTGGCCGGGTGTTCTCTGCCCGCATGACTGTTACTCAATGTCAGAAGGAGATGTCTCTGGCCTTGCCTCCCAGAGTTGGCAGGTTGAAAGGCCATGGGAGCTTACATGTGCTGCCTCAGAGATGCCAGAGGTAGCAGGGGACCCAAGCYGTTCCCCCTTTATGTTTTCATTACTAATAAATTATAAGCATCCTTCATTTGGATAATTATGATTGCTACTAAAGTATTACCTCAAAAGGTTCATATTCTTGGGTAAAATGAGTGCCTTGTYTCTCCTCCTTAATATTCTTGTTGAATTATGCATTCTGTTTCTTGCTAATAGTAGAAATGAAATCTCTTGTGCTTCTCTCTAGCTTTATTAGGAGACAGAACTAATTTTAAAGAAATGTCAAACCATGAATGCATTTATTTCCCTGAACTGTTGATGAGTAACTGCACTCTGGGGCAATGAGAGAAGAAAGGAAATGAGAGGAGGGATAAAATTTATCGAATGCCAGGTCCATATCCAGGGAATAGGCAAAGTGCTGAAATCGTCTAATCTCTGGAAATAGTGAGATAGACCTTTTCCCATTTTACAGGTAAGACACCAAGGCCCAAAATCACATAGCTGAGGGATGGAGTCAAGATTCAAAAACCTGGGCCTGATTCCAGAGCTCCTGGTTTTGCTTTAGAAATCATCAGTGTTACATTCCATTTCAAGAAAACAAAACGAACTAGGTCTTGTATTCATCCTCAGTGTTAGAGAAGACTTGCACAGGTGCCGAGATCTGTGCTAACCTTCCAGGATTCAGAACTACAGAGCTGTTCTTCTTGCCACTATCTCCCTTTTCCCTTTCTCTCTCCCTCTTGCCCTTCTCCTCTCCTTCATTTCCCATGTTCTCTCCCCACTTTCCCTTGCCRTTGCTCAGCACCCTCCTTTCTTGTACTCCCTTTCTCTGACTGTCTCTTCTTTTCCTGCCTACCTCTCCCCCACGGTTCCCCACGACCCATCACCATTGTGTTGTTTTGTCCTACCCTCTCCCCCTAAAAAAAAATAAAATAAAAATAAAAGCTGCAGAGGTAACACTAAACTTCCTTCACAGGAGAGCTAACAGGGGTTCTTACCAYGTGCAGATCCTTCTGGAGGATGTTTGTGACATGAAAAATGTTAGTGTTTCAGAGCTTCCTGTCCTGCTTGCAGTCTGGTTTCTTTATTAGGTGAACAAAGTTGAACAACTGAGGGCAAAGCCTCTTTCACCTGTGGCAGATGTCTCCCAGACCACATTCTCTTACCCAAGGAGCCTGGCACCTTCCTAAGACACAAATTCACTTAACTACTTTTTTTTTTTTTTTTTAACAAAAGCAAGAGCCTGTTACCAAAATGACTCTTAAACTCTTCTCAAAACTTCATTGCAAAGGAAATGAAACTATTAAAAGCCCATTGCACTGTAATTCAGGAAATTGAATCAACTTGTTTGGAGCCATAAGCAGAGGAAGACTTGAGCTGTACTGAGCCACATATTATGAGACTAAACAGTGCCCTGGTCTGAAATGATTCTGCCATGCAGAGGAGTCATGAGCTGTCTCAGCACAATCATGCAGCTCTTCAAACGCTTGCTTTCCTTTGCTACCTAAAATTTCAGTTTTCTACACAGAAAGAATACTTTGTGAGATGTTAGCACTTTGGGTGATTTTTTTAATCATTTATTTAGATTTTCATTACTCTTCCTGTAGTATTTGTAGAATGAAATATCTCTTTTTAATAAATAAAGGATATATAACATCCAGATTTTGAGGGGACCAGGGATAGCTCAGTGGTAGAGAGCTCATCTGGCTGCATGAGGGTTAGGGTTAGAGCCCTAGCACTGCCCCGCCCCCAYCACCACCAAAAATACACACTCCAAAAAATGTGTGTCTTGAGCATGAAGAATTTCATATATAGGTGTATGTATTCAAATAAATATTAATTATTAAAGTAGGGCAATGGGTGCATGAGGGTTCRTTAATGTTGTTGTGCCTACTACTGATACATATTTTTTTCTTAATAAAAGCTACAAAAATAAAAATTTTTATAATTGTGCAGATAAAATTAACTCACATTTTCTCTGTTCTTTCTGTACTGCTCCTCTCTGAGAGTACCTATTTAAAACACTAGTCAAATTGAACACATTTAGGACTGAAAAAAAAAAAGGCAGGAAGTAAAGTGCAGTTGAACTTAAAAGCTCCATTATGCTGCTGCTTAGAATAATAAAGTGTCTGACAAAATAGCCACAATCACACTTAAGATTCTAGACTGCTGTTGAAATAGTAAATACTGCTTTGGACCACGCAAGAAAAGCACATCGTTTTTGTTTTTGTTTTCCTAAAGCAAACTAAATCTAGCTCCAGATCCTCATCCACAGAGGTTTCAGTAAGTGCCATATCACTGTTTACAAATACTCTCTTTTTAAGAAAATCTATCCAAAACTTGTAATTGAGGCAACAAGTTTGCCATGTGCCTTTCTATATTCTGTATTGGAACATTTAMAAGATCTCCTAAAAATCTTTGTGCTCCAGGCCCTAGACCTGTCAGTATGATAGCCACATGTGGCTGTTGAGCCCTTGATATGAGGCTGGTACAACTGAAGAACTGAATTGAATTTTATTTATATATATAAATATATATATTATATATATTTATTATATATATATATAAAAGTGTTGGGCTTGGGTTGTGGCTCAGCCATGGAGCACTCGCCTAGCATGTGTGAGGCACTGGGTTCCATCCTTAGCACCACATAAAAATAAATAAAATAAAGGTTTAAAAAAAATGTTAAAAAAGTGTTAAAAATACTGAGAACTTAACTAACTACAACAAACAAAATCTCAATTTTTATATTTTACATTAAAACGTTAATATGCAATGAAGTTTTTGTGGGTTTGTTTTTGGTTTGTTGTTTGTTKTTTGTTTTGGTTTAGTTTTATWTTTTTTGATACAGTCTGTGTTGCCCAGGCTAGTCTTGAACTTGTAGGCTCAAGTGACCATTCTGCCTCTGTCTCTGAATTAGCTGAGACTATAGGCACAGGTCATCATGCTCACCCTAACAGTGGTTTGAAATGAAATGTTTTATTAAAACTGACTTCCAGGCTAGGGTCGTGGCTCGTGGTAGAGCTCTTGCCTAGCATGTATGAGACAGTGGGTTCAGTTTTCAGCACCATATATAAATAAATAAATAAATAAATAAATAAATAAATAAATAAATAAATAAATAAAACAAAAAGGTTCATCAACAACTAATAAAAGATTCTTAAAAACTGACTTCTTATTTTTTAAATTTTTAAAATGTAGTTAGTAGAAAATTAAAGTTGTATACATATATCTCATATTTCTATTAGACAGTACTATCCTAGAGTTTATGAGAAGGAAACTTTATCTGACTATTTATTCCTGACTAAGGTCCAGGCTCAAGTTAGATGTTAGCCTGTGGACGACTAATAAGTCACAAGTAATTTCTATTCATAACTAAAAGGCAACCCCAAGAGTTTCGATTGTATGGCTATATAGGCATTAAATAGTTTTGCATCTAACTTGGTAAATATCATTCATGTTTTATTTTTCTTAACAATTTAACTAAATTATCTGATGGTTTTACTAAGCAGAATTTTGTTATAAGTCAAATTTTTGATTATTTATTCTCTTCCAGTTGTCTAGCTTATACTGGAAAGAATAATTAGTCCTACCTCAAGCCTGGTGGCTCACACCTGTAATCCTAGCAATTCAGAAGACTGAGGCAGGAGAATCACAAGTTCAAGGCCAGCCTCAGCAATTTAGTGAGGCCCTATCTCAAAATAAAATATAAAAAGTACTGGAGATGTGGCTCAGTACAAAAAAAAATTTTTTTAGTCCTATTGATCAAATGACATAATCAATGTAAACTGAAGTGTTGCTCTGTGAACTATTTATGTGTGTATCTGGAATTAAGTTTCATTAAATTGTCTTGCTTTGCTTCCCTAAAATCACAGTTTCAAGAACTGAAAATACTGATACTGAGTAACAACTGTTTTCTTTTTACATTATCTGCTCATGTGTTTATGTAAATAAAGGCAAAGGAACTGTAATTAAATTCCATCCCTAAAGAAAACTTTGCAAAGGTCCTCATACCAGTGCTGACCCCCAGAATTGCCTTACTGTGGACAATGTGATCTATTGTTCTCTGTACCACATTGTCTAAGGAAGAGGCTTGCATGTTTTGTTTGTGATCTTTTATGAGATCCTCTTAAAAAAAAAAAAAAAAAAAAAAAACCTGAAGCCATTTGATAGTAGATGTGTTACTATTTCCAGGTAGGCAAAACTATTTGTAGCTTTCTGGAACACTTGCTTTGCTAACTACCCCTCCCTTTTTTGGTACAATACTGGGGATTGAACCTAGGGACCCTCAACAACTAAGTTATATCCCCAACTCTTTTTATTTTTACTGTGAAACAAGTTCTCACCAAGTTGCTAAGGCTGGCAAAGCACTTGCAATACTCCTGCCTCAGCCTCCCAAGTTGTTGTGATTACAAGCCTGACCACCGCTCCTGATACTCTGCTAACAGTTTGAGTCAGGGTAACAAATAGGACCATGCTATGTATTGCGTTTTATATTTTTTGTTGTCTGCTTGCCCATGGTATCAGCTCACTACTGAGAATCTAAGGAAATAAGACAATAGTAGAGGATAGCGTAGAAGACATGAGGTTGAAGCTCCAAATCTTTTAGCTATCAAAATAAATAAAAGAATAAATACTGTAGAGCTGTAGCATTGTCAGAAGAGACGGTGTAGACTGAGTAAAGCTGAATCCCCTTTCTCTTTACCCTTACCCCTTTGTCTTTTGCTTCTAGAGATTTGGAAAATTGCTATGACCATGAATTATTAGGCATGATGTTTTATTTTACTAGGTTGGAATGAAATATAGAAACCTAATCCTGAAACCCGGGGGATCTCTGGACGGCATGGACATGCTCCAGAATTTCTTGAAACGTGAGCCAAACCAAAAAGCGTTCCTAATGAGTCGAGGCCTGTGTGCTCCATAAACGGGATCTTTGGTAGCAGTCCATGTCTGGAGGACAAGTCGACGTCGCCATGTGTTACTGGCCTGGAAACTGAAGGGAGTTTGCAGATGAAAAATTAGATTTCTATTGACTTCTTTTTTTTTTTATTTTAAAACTTATACTTATGTAAATGGAATTATAAATACTGTGACCTAAAAAGACTAATTGAAAATAATTGTACTATAAAATTTCATAAAAATGGATTTGATTTCTTTTGATAAAAGTTTCATATGAATGTAATTTGATTTTTTTACTATTATAATCTAGATAATATAATGTAAGAGGGCCAAGAATTTTTAAATTGAATCATATACATGATATAATTTGATCCTTCTTATATCTTAAAATTTTGTACTTGGGATTTCTGAACTGATAAATGAATCATCAAATTCCTCTGGTAAATATTTTCCTGGAGCCCTGAGTCAACTTTGATCCTCTGCCTCCCTTAAGGTGTGACCTTGCCTTTGCCTGCATGCCTCAAGGCCAAGGAAATACGACACAGTAATTCCTTTATCCTTTGTATACCAGGCCTCAAAGTTCCCAGCTTTCTGCCTCTTTATGTTATATTACCCCATTTGGGTTTGTTTTCCTTTCTAATCTTCAGTTAGAGAGTACCAAAAAAAATTTTCAGTGTGACTGCCCAGGTCTAATRTATATTGCAAGTTGTTTTTGTTTGTTTGGTACTAGGGATTGAACCAGGGGCACTTGATGACTGAGCCACATCCCCAGCCCTTTTTGTGTTTTATAGAGAGACAGGGTCTCCCTGAGTTACTTTGGGCCTCACTAAATTGCTAAGGCTGGCTTTGAACTCACCATTCTCTTGTCTCAGCCTCCCCTATTGGCTGGGATTATAGGTATCTGCCGCCAGCCTGGTTTATTGCAAGTTTTTGTATCCTGTATTAGAGTCTAAATTCCATTTCAGCACACAACTATTTTGGCATAGTTGCCAATTAGAACATAAAGTGAGTTCAGGCTCTGTGTATGTGTGTGTGTATATGTGCACGCATGCACACATGTACGCAGACTGGCATTAAACCCAGGGGCACTCTACAACTAAACAAATCTTTTTATTTTTTGCTGTGAGACAGGGACTTCTTAAATCACAAAGACTGGACTCAAACTTGTAGTCCTCCTGCCTCAGCCTCCTAAGAAACTAAATTTAATGTCAAGTGCTTCCTGCCCAGCTAGGCATCTTTTTTAGGGGCCGGAACTCAGGGGCACTGGACCACTGAGCCACATCCCCAGCCCTATTTTTATTTTATTTAGAGACAGGGTCTCACTGAGTTGCTTAGCACCTTGCTTTTGCTGAGGCTGGCTTTGAACCACAATCCTCCTGCCTCAGCCTCCTGAGCCACTGGGATTAGAGGTGTGTGCCACCTCATCCGGCCTAGCCAGGCATCTTTTTGATTCTCATGTTTCTAATAAGGGGTAGTGATGTTGCCTCTTTTATTGATCACCTTTCTGCAGATGACAAATAGACATGTCACAATGGCTATTTAGAGTTCAGTAGGGAAGACAGCTGGTGCTGATGTGGCCATAAAGAAACTGCAGAAGAGGCGTGGGTTCAGGCAGAGCGTTTGAAGACAGCTGCTCTGCTCTGGTGCTACGAGGTACTTAAATTCGGCYTTGGGGAAGAGGCTCCTCCATAGCCTGTTTCATCTGGTGATTTTTTTTTTTTTTTAAGTGAACCTTTAGATTTCTCTTTAACTCTGTTTACTGTGGGCCTAAATTCCAATTCTGCAGCAGAGCAATAAACTCATAGTACTGATTTTTCCTATAGGAATCTACTCACTAAAAAAAAACAAGACAGGATTTTTTTTTTTTTTTCAGTAAACTTGTTTTGTGTTTGTTGTCATTGGAGTGGTGGTGCTGCTGGGAATCAAATGCAAGGCAAGTGCTGTACCTCCAAGGCACAACCCAGACCCCAAATAAACTTTATGCTCTGTATAGAACCTTTCTTTGCTCTTATCCAAGTGGACTTTGTGTTAAGTTAAACAATTATTATGTTACATAATAAAATTTAAGACAGCAGGGTAAACCAAAAGCTGTAGCAGCAACACAGAAGGAAATTTTGAGACTAATATTGCCAAGCAAATACCTTAAACATCCACATGAAATCCTACCTTCCTTTCCAAGATTAGTTCCCTGGCCCTCACTCTGCGTCACTGTCTCTGGTCACCAAAGCTGTTTTTGTGGTATTTTTCTCTCCTAGACTCTTCTGTTTTCCACTTTCAGACAAAAACCAAAAACTCTCTTCAGCTTTTTCTCTTGCCCAATGTCTTTTTCACAATGACTTTGGCATTTTAAATCTTCACTTATTTCACATGGAAAAACTAATTGTTGTGGGAAAGATTGCGCACAATAAAGTTACATTATTGTCCACGAAAATGAACTCACCTTTCTTTCATACTTTAATGTTAAAACTGAAATGCATGACAGAGCAAAAGCACGAAGGTGTTCTTGTTTAGGTCTACCTCTAATATTTTAAGTCTACCAAAGTACAGAGCAAAATCAAATATTCATTAAAAATATTCGCTAGCATAATGAAAAGATAAGGACTTACTTTTTAAAGCCTTCTTAAATGTGCCCGTCTATCAGCTTGTTCTTTTTCTCCATGAGTTCAGGGAGTCACTGAGATGTTCTGAATGGAGAATACCTATAAAAGCTGCAATTGGGCAAACTTACAATTCATATTTATGATCTGAGTCACATATAATAAAGTCTTTCTTATCTTTATCGATCCAGAAGATTTGGGCCTGTTTGGGGGATTTTTCCAAGCATCGTTATCTGTTGCTAAGAGGCAAGTTCTTAAAACAGCTTATGCTAATGTGTGTGATTCCTAAGGTTTGATTCTAAGATGCTACAGAGAAAGAAGAGTCTTAATGTGATGCCATCTGAAATAGGTTTTTCTCCCCTATTGTAAATATTGAGTGTTACCTAAATACCTAAAAATTATCTTAAAGAGCTACCACCTGAGCTACATATGCCCAGGTTTTGCTTTTCTAAAGCTAATAGGAAGAAAGATGGATACTCTTTGCTCTGTAGACAAGAAACTGCATTATGCAGGAAGCCAAAACTGAGAAAATACCTCTTTAAGAAAAATTACTGATGTGATCTTTGTATTTGTAAACACCTTAACTAATAAGGAAATTCTTAATTTTCTACTTTACCATTTTTGCCTTTAACCTTCGTGTATGAATTCAAGGTTTGTGGAGGTGATGGCTCCCCACTGGATCAGTGGGTTTATATAGGAATTTTTTTCTTTCTCTGTCATACACAAGTGTAATTTGCCATGCTCCAAGAAAATTGCATTTAAAATTGCATCAAAATGCTGTTTTCGTTTGGATTACTATAACAAACCACCACAGACTAAAACAGATATTTAAAAGCTGGGCTTGGTAGCACATACCTGTAGTGCCTGCTACTCAGGTGGGAAGATCACTTGAGCCCAGGAGTTTGAGACCAGCCTGGGTAACATACTGAGACCCCCATCTCAAAAAGCAGCAAACAGAAAAAAAGATAAAATTATTTCTCACARTACTGTAAGTTGGGAAGTCCCACAGTCTAGGACTCAACCCTCACAACTTCATCTAAACCCAATCACCTCCCAAAAGTCCTCCTCCTCTAACCAGCAATGACGGTTAGGGCTTCAACACATGGATTGTTCCTTGGGGGCGGGGTGTGGGTAGAGCARCCTACAAATATTCATTTCATAACTAATACTAGTCCTGCAAATTGGATTTAAGCATAGTTAACTGAGCCCCAATGAATGTTAAAAGAAAAATCCCGCCTCATCTGAGTAGATTTGGTGACCAAAGCTGCTTCCTTCCCTAAGCACATTTTTACAGTTACACTGAAACTGGATAGCCCCTTAAAATTGAATATGACTTCCCTTAGAACAGCTTGGTAAGAATAAAAGCCAAGAAATAATAATAGTAAAAATTAAAAAGCATATATAATTTCATTTTCTTTGAAAAACAGTGTCTAAAATTTATTTTTTTCAGTCAACTTTAATGAAGAAATTCCCAGTGAAAACAATGGAAGTGATTACTACAAGTGTATGAAGGTAAAGCTATAAATTCTGAACACTAGCCCTAAAAGACCCTTTTTCAACATAAGTACAATAATGATATGAATAGAGATTCTGGAGGGGCTGAGGTGTTGCTCAGTGGTGAACCCTTCTGTGGCATGCCTAAGGACCTGGGTACCGTGCCCAGTACCACCACCACAACAACAAAAATAGAGATTTGATTTTCTAAAAGGTAAAAATGAAGGATTGAAAATTAGGATAATGAACACCTACCCATCGATTAGTGATTCTTGAGTTATTTGGTTGAATTTGCCTGGTAATTCCCTTTCCTGATAAAATTCAGATACAGCACAGCTGGTACACTCTGTATGCACAAGAAAGGGGAGGAATGATTATGAAACAGGCTTCTTATCATCTCACAAGCTGACACCTTTTCTACCTGCCTATCTCCTAGAGCTCAAAGGCTCACCTAGACAGCCATCCCTAACTCTGGGAATGCTGCACACACCTTCCCTTAGGTCTATTGGTTTTCCTGGTTACCTTTACTGCAAGATGATTATTTGTGTCCTTGGCCCATGTGACTGTGGGGTTGTTTGTGGTTTTAAATTTACATTTTCCTGGGGGACAGAGTTCAGATGAGGCAGGGAGAGCCATATCAATGGCCTAGAGTTGGAATATCTGTGCTTCTACTCAAGCTGTTACCTTCATCCAGAATGCCTGTGGTCCTTTCTCTTTCATACCTTTCCAAATCTGACCCAATTTATGACAAGAATCACTTTCTGCCTTTTCTGAGAGTATGTGGTTTCTTGTGCCAGATTATGATGTATTTGGGAAGAAATAAACACAAACTTGTGTCCTATTAAAAAAAAAAAGGGTCACCTAGAATTTTACCCCCATGATAAAATGTTTATAGCAATTGTGACTTGTGTTTATGTGGGAGAAGGTAGGTAACTAGGGATTGAACCCAGGGGTTCTCTCCCTCTGAGCTACATCCCCAGCCCTGTTTTTTATTTTGAGACAGAGCTCACTAAATTGCTGAAGTTGTCCTTGAACTTGTGACCTTCTACCTCAGCCCCCTGAGTCGCAGGGATTATAGGCATTTGCTGTCTGTATCATTTGTTATCAAAGAAACCATACAGCTAAGAACAATTTAAAGAAACTGTTCACCGAGACATCTCAACTGACATTATGACTTTTTTGTTGCTGAAATGGAGAATGTGACTAGATTTTAGCTGTTGAATGGAGTTGAATAATTATTCTCATAAACTCAGGACATTTCATGTCCTTTGACTGAAATCACAAGAAATTCTATAAAATGGTATTTTACAGTACAGTTACAGTACAGTTACAGTAACTGCTGGGCACAGTGGCATACACCTGTAATCCCAGAGACTCTGGAGACAAAGGCAGGAAGATCACAGGTCCAAAGCCAACCTCAGCAAATGCGAGATGCTAAGCAACTCATTGAGACCCTGTCTCTAAATGAAATACAAAATAGAGCTGGGGATGTGGCTCAGTGGTCCAGTGCCCCTGAGTTCAATCCACAGTACCAAATTACAGTAACTGATCTGGAATGGTCACACATGTTAGTGTTATTAAGATTTAAAATTAGAGCTGTGATATAGCTCCGTGGTAGAGTGTTTGCCTAGCATATATGAGACCCTAGGCTCAATCCCCAGCACCACAAAGGGAAAAAAAAATGATT